TAGAGACCTCCCTTTATGCTTCACTGAGAATAGAGAAACCAAGAGATAGGAATATCCAAATCTTCTAATCACCAAACAGCTGCCTTTGAATGCTCTACCTTTCTTCCTATGAAGAGGAAGGACACTGCATTTAAGCCAACATCGTCATTGAGCTCTAAATCCTGTCTTCATTGAACAACTCAGAAACTTTGTTATCCCCTCTCTCTGCTACAGCATTGCTATGGTTTAAATGTGTTTGCCAAAAATTCATGAGTTCACAACTTAACCCCAATTCACGCAGTGATGGTATTTGGAGGTGGAGTCTTTGGAAGGGAAACAGGGTGACAGGAGGTCATGATGGTAGAGCCTCCGTGATAGAAATTAGTGACTTCATAAGAAGAGAAGAGAGACCTAGGTTTGTATGCTGCCATGTGATGTCTTCCACCAGGCTATGACACAACAGAAGACTCACCAGATGTGATCCCTTGATCCTGGGCTTCCCAGACTCCAGACTGTCACAAATAAATCTTTCTTTATAAATTACCCAGTCTCAGGTATTCTGTTGTGGCAACACAAAACAGAATAAGACAAGCATCAATTCCTTTCTCTCTGCTGGGTTATTCCTGACATCACAAAACACCCAATAAACCCTCTAACCCACAATCCCTTTGGTCACATATCTTGGCTCCCTTTCACAGCAAAACTCCAAATAATTGTCTGTTCTTTTCCTTCTATCACAATAATCAGTTTCTGCCTCAGTTGCTCCTCTGAAAGCATTTGTCAAGGTCACTAATATCCTCTTGTCAGTCTCTCCATTTTTTTCTTTTTTGGAGTACTGGAGGATGAACCTAGGGATACTTTACCACTGAGCTATATCCTGAGTCCTTTTGAGACTGGGTCTCACTTAGTTGCCTGGGCTGGCCTCCAACTTGCAATGTTCCTGCCTCAGCCTCCTGAGTCACTGGGATTACATGTGTGCGCCACACCTGGTCTCTTGTCATTCTCTAAGTCTACCTCACTCCATCTCTCAGCAGCATTAGTTATGATTGTTTCCACCTTTATTGCTTCTCCTATACCTGGGCCCAGATGCTGGTGCACCCAGGGCTCTATGTGAGCCTTCTCCTCATTCACCTACTCTCTCTAGAGAATGAATCCATCCTCAAGGCATGAGATGCCATCTAAAAATATTCTACCACTTCTTAGAGTAAATCCCTGACCCCATTTTTTCCCCTTAGGATTACATCTCCCATTTAATATACTTAATACCCCTTGACTTCTATCCTCAGATCTATTTTCTCCTTTGAATAAAGTGTTCTACCAACCATCCAACTGCAAAAATCTAAACATCAAAAGCTGCAGTTGTAGCTCAGTTTGCCTAACACGAGTGAGGCACTGGGTTTGATCTTCAGCACCACATAAAAATAAGTAAAATAAAGGTATTGTGTCTATCTACAACTAAAAATATATATATATAAAAAACTTAAAAATCTGAACATCACCTTTAAATGTTTCCTTCCCTGTACCTCCACATCCAATGAATCTTCAAGTCTTACAAAATACACTTCAAATCCATCTACATCTCTATATCCCTCCTAACATGGTTTCACCAGCTCACCATAATCTTTCACCTGGATTAGGTGCATCCTAGTGAGTCTCCCTGATTCACTCCTGCTCACCTCAAAACCACTCACTTCTCTCTTCTAAAACTTTCCTATTGATTCTCAAACTCCAAAAGGCCTTCCCAGAAGACCTCACATGACGTTGCTGCTAGTCACCTCTACATACTCACCCCACTTTCCTCCACACTGATATTTTTTTCTGTTCTATGAACATAAAAAGCTCTTTCCCAGCTCTGGGTCTATTTATAATACTCTTGCTTCTTCCTGGAAAGTTCTTGCCCTGGCTCTTCATCTGACTGATTCGTTATTCTTTTCAGATCGCAGCTCAAATATCTTTTCAGAGAGCCCCTCCCTGACCACTGTCTCTAAAGTGGAATCTTCCAGTTGGTTTCTCCTGGTTCTGTTTGCTTCCTTCAGAGTATGCATGTATGCATTTATTTTAGAGGCAGGGTCTCACTATGCTGTGCAGGTTGATTCAAATTCCTATCTCAGTCTCCCAGAACATTTATTTTAATCTGTTATGATCTTGTTTATTTATTGGTTTACATTTGCAAATCATACACAAAAAAAACAGCTCTTCATCTGTCATGTTCAATTTTTTTATCATTTTAGCACTACAGTGACTAACATATTAGTAGTTATTCAATAAATATCTATAATAAATTAAACACTGTCACAAGAAATCTACTACATTCTAGAGAAAACAGATATTCCTGACTAAAGAAGGGTCAAATACCCTCTCTCTTTCTTTAGTGGAGGGGTTTCTTTTTTTTTTTTTTTTTAAAGAGAGAGTGAGAGAGAGGGGGACAGAGAGAGAGAATTTTAACATTTATTTATTTTTTTCTTAGTTCTCGGCGGACACAACATCTTTGTTGGTATGTGGTGCTGCTGAGGATCGAACCCGGGCCGCACGCATGCTAGGCGAGCGCGCTACCACTTGAGCCACATCCCCAGCCCTAGTGGAGGGGTTTCTAGGGATTCAGCCATAAGTGCTTTACCACTGAGTCACACATCCAGTCCTATTTATTTATTTTGAGACAGAGTCTCACAAAGTTGCTGGAGCTGGCCTTCAACTTGTGATCCTCCTGCCTCAGCCTCCAGAACCACTTCGATTACAGGAGTGTGCCACCATACCCACATACATCTCTTAAAATGACTTCAAAATTCAGGGCAAAAATGCTACATGTGAAAATTCGTAGAGGAGGGAAAGTACTATTTGTGAACAGAAAATTTGTGGACTATACTTTCTTCATCCACATGAAGGGTTTAAATGTGCAGTGTCTCCAAAAAGGAACAGAGTTAGATCCTACCCTTACCATTTCTGTGTATTCCACTTGCTCTCCCTCATTATACAGCTCTGGGGGCAGGTTATAAATCCGCAGGATGTTATCAGCACTATTGGTCAAGATGCAGGAACCATCAGGGGCCCTAGAAATATAGCAAAGAGTTAGGAAACTGGACAGACTTATGCCTTCCAAGTATAGGTAGTAAGTAAGCCCCTGAGTCCTTGTAAGACACAAAGTCACAGAAAAATTTTAAGCTCAAATACTCTGAGGGATTTCCCTCTTGTGCCCACCTCTAGTGGATCCTTTCCCCAGACAAGTGTGGTGTTTTCATCTCTCTGCCCCATTGTCCTTACTTACCACTTACAGCCTTTCAAGAAGTTCTCAGGTTGGGTGCTAAACTCAGACCAGGAACCACTGAGAAACCGAGGTATCCGGGAGAAGCTGTAGTTCCAAGTGCTGTAAGGAAGATGAAGGAACAAACTTGGGTCGCTGAAGCAAAGGGGAAATGCACCTGGAGAAGTGAGCACACACTTTCACTCTCCTTAGATGACAAAGTCAACTACCACTTACGTGTCTTCCTCCTCCTCTGGAGCAGCTTCCTCAGACACGCCTTCCATGGCTTCTTCAGACCCCAACTCCGGAACACTCATTTTTTCTGCAGGAGAGCTAGCATTTTCATCAAGTTCTTGCTTCTTGATGTGAGGACTCAACTCATGAGGAGTATCAAACTCGGTTTCCAAGGGAGTGGAGAGAGATGCTGGGTTCTCCTCCCCCAGCTCCTGGGAYGAAGCTGAGCCAGCCACGGGATCTGGGGACCTCTGGGGCAGATCATCTCCACCAGGTGGCGGTGGTATAAATTCAGGGTCTGTATTTTTATCCATCGGAGAAGCGTGGGGAGAGGGACAGGCTGGTACAGGGGCCTGGTCTAAAGGAAGGCTGTCTGGAGCCAAGAGTTGCTCCTCCGACGTCTTCATGCTGCAGAGGAAGCGCGGCAGACATTGGCCTAAGCCGGGCAACTCTCTACTGCCTACGGGCGGCCCGACGCACAGGACTGCCGGAACTGCTTCAAAGTTCTCAGGGATCAGAAGTGGGGAAACCCACCAATGCCTTCTTTCCTTTTCCGTGGGGGAAGCAGAAGACCCCCGGCCGGCGAGAATAGAAGGATATCAATAGTAAAGGCACAACTCTGCTAAGAACCGTGGGCCGCTCCGCGCCTCTTGTTCTCGCGGGACTTGGGCCCGGCTTCCGATTGGCCTTCGGAATCCCGGATCAGATTTCGCGGGCGACCCACAGAGAGGTAGGATTCGGCGTACGCATCAAGCCTTAGGAATCCTAATAGCTGCTGGGAGTTGTAGTCTGAACGTTGCGTCTGGGCGAGAATGCCTGAGCTCTCCTTAACCGTCCACCACAGTAATTCTTAAAGCACCTACCCGCCCTCGCCTGCAGAGAGCGCTTGCTTCAGGTTTTGCATCTCATCCRCCCAATTCCTCAGGACCTCTTCATTCATTCGACAAATATTATCAAGCTCTTAACTTCCTACACAGCACTATACTAGGCATTGGAGAATACTGCAGTAAATAAGATAGCTAACAATTCTCTACCCTAAAGTCGATGCACAAATGGGTCTTTTCAGTGATAAAGGCTACGAAGGAAATTAAACAAGATAGTGTAATATAAAGTCTCCAGGGGAACACAGTAGACTGAGGTATTAAGGAAAGCCTTCCTAAAAGGTGACATTTTAGCTAATGATGAGAAACGATCCAGCTAATTCTGAAAGCTCAGTATTCCAGGCCGAGAGAATGGCAAATGCAAGTTTTCTTCCTTCCACCCTTTATACTTGACACATTAGCGGAGTCCTGCAAAGTTTCTACCAATTCTGCCCTCACAGCTCTAGCTTGTATTATTTTCCTGCTCCCAAATGTCAGGAGCTACAACGCGAATCCTGACTCTCCGCATCCTCTCCAACTCCTTCCATCCGCCTGCAGGCGAATTACTTGCCCTTACTTGTCATGGCGACTGTCCAGCTTTGTGCCAGGAACCTCGCGAGGGTTGCTGGGATTGGGATTTTCCCCTCCCATGTGCTCAGACTGGCGCTAAAAGTTTTGAGCTCCTCAAAAGTCCAGAGCCATCATTCTGGGCGCAGGTAGCTGCGTGGTTCTGAGGAGAACCTGGCGACCGGGCTTGGAGCGTGCTTCCCAGATCGGTGACACGCTCCCCTGAGGTCGGGGTAAGGTCTCTATAGAGCTTGATGAGTCTTCTCTGAGTCATGGGCTCTCGACTGCTTGTATTTGCAGCTCCAGAGAATCGCGGGGTTTGGGGGGGTGGGGGCAGCGGGGCTGCACTGGGTAAGGGGAAATGGCTGGCGGGATCAACATGGAAATGCAGTGTTGGGAGGCTTGGGTGTAGATAACGGGGATGTTACTATCAGCCAGACTCAAAGCTGAACACTTGGGCACGGGGTTGGACTTTGGGGAATCTGGAGCCTTCCAAAAGCCTACTCCCTCCCCCTGCCCCCCCGCATATGCCCCTATCTACCTAGAGCAGGATGCTGGAAATCTCTTAAATATGATGCACAAAGCACTAGTTTGAGACTTTCTTGAGATGTTGGAGCCCATGACATCCTAGAAGAACCTCGGGTTCCATTCCAAAATTAATTGGGGTGATCGGGAAACCCAAGGCGCTAAGGTCCCCAACTTCCGGACCTTTGTCCTTTCTGAAGTGATCTCTCCAGTGAGCGCCCGGCTCCGTTAGCTGAAGAAAATCCAATTAAAGACTATCAGCTATAGATGTGGGAAGTGCTAAATGAAAGGTTAGCCCGCGAGACGGGTCAGGATCCTGCAGGTTTGAGAGGCCCGGCAGCCCTGTTATTGTTTGGCTCTACATTTACATTTCTGCTACTTGCAGCACCATTTCCGGTTTCTCTTTGTCGGAAGAGCTCACTGTTGTCCTAATAAGAGGGAAGTAGAAAGAAAGAAAATGTATTTTAGGCGGGTTCCTATTGTTTGCGGAGGGAAACTGTTCTACCTCTCTTCCATTCTTTTTCTGAACTACTTGGTTATTGCTTTTGCAAAGGACCGGGTATTTGTTTTGATACAAACCTCAGTCCCTCCCCCTCTTTGAATGGTGTACTCCACCCACCACCCCCCCCCGGTCGTCGACAATCTAGAAGGACGCTACCATTGTGTAGAAAGACGTGGGGGGAGGTGTGTGTAGAAGGCAAAGCCTGGGTTTTTTTGGAAATAGGTACATTCAGGAATCAACTTTTACTTGAAAGAGTGCAATGATGGGGCGTTTGTTTGGGAAACACGATTCATCCAGCATCCGGTTTTGGGCTGAGCCATTCCAATTCTGGACGCAGACCGAACGTCGTGAAAGCGGAAGGGGAGGGCCTTGCGGAGAGACACCCCGAGGTCCTAAGTGCAGTCAGCCACTTCTTCCCAGTGGGAGGTAGCGGAACACTTCCAAATCCCATGCAGATCAATTTCTCTTATATGCATAATTGGGGGCTGGTCGTTTCGTTCACTAGTTACCGCCCACTTTATGTATACTGTGTGCTCTATTTATGTGGTGTTCCTTTTTCTAAATACGGGTTGCATTTATATAGATCTAAAGCTTCGGCTTTTGGTGGGGGGGGGGTGAAGGAGGGAATGCAGGCTGTGGAACGTTGAAGGGGGGAGGTGTGCTGCAGCAAGGGTTGTCTTGTTATGCAGATAAAGTCTCCCAGGTAACTGCCTTTGTGGCAATCTCTGACTGAACTAAATGTCGGAATCCCAGTCTCTTCTTAATATGAAAAGATCTTTCCAAAGACCGTAACGCGGATGTCTCAGAGCAATGCCTGTGCCTGCTTCTGCTGTTTACTAATGTATATRTATGTGTAATATATTTTTTGAAAGCCACAGTTTTCAGAACTAGCCTTGTGTCTGCAGAGGTGTGCAGTTTCTCTGAATAATTTAGTACAGTAATCCCAAGATATCCTCACTAGGTGGGGGAGGGGCATTGGTTCCAGGATGCTCAAATTCCCTACAGAAAAAGGCATAGTATATTTCCTTTAACTTATGCATATTCTCACATGTGCTTTAAATTATCTCTAGACTACTTATAATATTTAAAACAATGTAAATGCTATTTAAATAGTTGTTATACTGTATTGTTGAGGAAAAAAAAATATCTGTACATGTTCAGTACAGGCAGCAGCAACAACTTTTTAAAATAGAAGATGTGCAAAATTGTAGCAAATCAAACCTGGTTATCTGTAAAAAGAATAAATATATTCTAACCTAGAGTGGTTTATCCCAGAATCGCAATGTTACTTTGCCATTCAAAAATTAATCTGTAAATTACCAGTTAACAGGATTAAAATTCTATGATTTCAACAGATGCAGAAAAAGCAGTTGACAATATTCGAAAGTTATTCATGATTCTAAACAAACCTCAGAGTGAACTAATGAGGGAAATTTTTCTTGGTTTGATTAAAAAGGCATCTACAATTAAGTATTAAGATACTTAATGGTAAAAAAAATTAAAAAGTTTAAAAAAAGATACTTAATGGTAGAAAACTGTATGTTTTTCATCTTAAGATCAGGAACCAGGGCTGGGGCTCAGCGATAAGAGTGCTTGCCTACCGCGTTTGAGGAACTTGGTTCTATCCTAAGCACCACATAAAAAAATAAATTAATAAAATAAAGGTATTTTAAAAGATCAGGAATTAGAAAAGGATTTTATTTTCATCACTTCAGCATTGTACTGGAGGTCCTAATCAGGCAAGAAAAAGAAATAATGATTAGAAAAAGAGTCTTTTTATTTACAGCCTGTGTGATTATTTATATAAAAAGTCATAAATGGAAAATTCGAAAAATCAACTAGAACTGAGAAGTAAATACTGCAGAGTATTTACTTTTTTTTTTAGACAGAGAGAGAGAATTTTTATTTTATTTTATTTTTTTAGTTTTCAGCGGACACAACATCCCTGTTTGTATATGGTGCTGAGGATGGAACCCTGACACTACTGCTTGAGCCACGTCCCCAGCCCCCAGAGTATTTACTTTTAAAAACAGTAGCCTTGGGCTGGGGCTAGGGCTCAGAGGTAGAGTGCTAGGCACTGGGTTCCATCCTCAGCACCACATAAAAATAAATCAATAAAATAAAGGTATTGTGTCCAACTACAACTTAAAAAAAAAATTATTAAAAAAAAAAACAGTAGCCTTCATAGTAGCATCCAAAACAGTGTCATGCTCAGGGATAAATTTAGCAAAATGGATAAAAGCTCTGCATTGAAAACTATAAAATATCACTTAGAGAATTGAAGGGTGGTTTTAAATAATGGAGAGATATTCTATTGATGGATTAGAAGATGTAGTGATGAATCCCAATAAAAATCTTTGTAGTCTTGTTTGTACAAATTGACAAGCTGGTTCCAAATTGAAAAAAAAATAGTACAGAGTTGGAGGTCTTCTTTTATTTATTTATTTATGAGATGCTGGGGATTGAACCTTGGACCTCCTGTGAATTGACTATAGAGTTGTATAATTGATCTAAACATAAAACCATGATGCATGCCTATAAGGCTGAAGCAGGAAGATCTGAAGTTTAAGGCCAATCTGGGTAACTTAGACCCTATCTCAGAATTTTAAAAGGCTGGGGCTGGGGATATTGCTCTGCGGTAGAGTGCTTGCCTAGTACATGTGAGACCCTGGGTTTGATCCTCAGCACCACATAAAAATAAATAAAATAAAGGTATTGTGTGCAACTACAACTAAAAAATAGTTTAAAAAAAAAAAAGGCTGGGATGTAGCTCAGTGGTAGAGCACCCCCTGGGTACAACGGCTACAATTGGTAATACAAAAATAAATAAATAAATACAAAATAAATAAGTGCATACATACAAACACATACACCACTCTGAAACTTACTTTCAGAAGAAAACCTGGACACCAATTCTTTTTTTTTTTTTAATATTTATTTTTTAGTCGGACACAATATCTTTATTTATTTATTTTTATGTTGTGCCGTGCTGAGGATCGAGCCCAGGGCCTTGCATGTRTTAGGCAGAGTGGCTAAGAATATAGGTGAGATAATAAAGGGAGCATATGGATTATTCATGAAACTGGGTGATAGATACATGAGGGTACATTCTTTTTCCTTTTTGTAATGTGTTAGAATTTTTCCATAAGAAGTTCTTTCCTGTTTTGTTTTTGTGGGCTACTGGGAATCAAATTCAGGGCCTTGGACCTATCTGGCAAGCACTCTGCCACTGAGATATATCCCCAACCCCAAAAGATATCTTTTTTTTTTTTTTTTTTTTTTTTTGTAATTTATTTTTCACTTTTCAGTGGATACAACATCTTTATTTTGTTTTTATGTGGTGCTGAGGATCGAACCCAGCGCCCCGCACATGCCCGGCGAGCGCGTTACAGCTTGAGCCACATCCCCAACCCCCCAAAAATATTCTTATACCAGTCTTGGTGAAACCTTAGGACCTTAGGAAAAYATTGGGCACAGTGGCGCACACCTGTAACCACAGCAGCTCAAGAGGCTGAGGCAGAAGATTGCAAGCTTAAGGCCAGCCTAAGCAACTTAGTAAGTCCCCTAAGTATTTAGGAAGAATTTGTTTTAAAAAAATTAAAAGGGCTGGGGTGTTGCTTAGTGGTAAAGTGCCCCTGGATTCAATCCCCAATACCAAACAAAAAAAGAAAAAGCAAGCAAGCAAACTTAGGAAAATATTATTCAGTTTTTGAGACGTCCCAGATTCACATCCCTGGTTCTGCCCTATAGTTTTAAAAACCTTGGTAAATGACTTAATACTTCAACTCTCAGTTCCTTCATCTATTGTTGAAACCTACTTTGCAAGGGCTGGGGATGTGGCTCAAGCGGTAGTGTGCTCGCCTGGCATGCGTGCGGCCCGGGTTCGATCCTCAGCATCACATACCAACAAAGATGTTGTGTCCGACGAGAACTAAAAAATAAATAATAAAAATTCTCTCTCTCTCTCTCCTCTCTCACTCTCTCTCTTAAAAAAAAAATTTTTTTTTCAAAAAAAAAAAAAAAGAAAAGAAACCTACCTTGCTTGCTTTTAGTGGGAGGCCTGTAAGTCTATAGGGCCTACAGCAGCTGATACTGTTAAGACTTATTATAATGATCCCTGCCCCTCCTTGGGGTCTCAGATGAGCTTACTGCCTTCCCACCTGGCATTTCCTTAAACACTGACCCCACCAGAACCATTGGGTAGGTCCAGTTCAGCTTGACATGTTCATATCATGGCCTCCACCATGTAGGCTTAGGACCTGACTTCCTTCACCAGACTCCTAAGCGCAAGAAGTAAAATCAAGAATCAATAAATGGGATGGACTCAAACTAATAAAAAGCTTCTCAGCAGAGAAGAGAGAGCCAACAGAATGGGAGAAAACCTTTACCACATTTACCTCAGAGAGAGCATTAATCTCCAGAAGAACTCCAAAAACTGAACACACATACACACACACATGCACACAGAAAATAAATAAAATAAAAAATTTTAAAAAAACAATCCAATCAATAAATAGGCTGAGGAGCTGAACAGACATTTCACAGAAGAAATATAATCAATCAACAAACATGAAAAAGTGTTCATCATCTCTAGCAATTGGAGAAATGAAAATCAAAACTACTCTTAAGATTTCATCTCACTCCAGTCCAAACAGCAATTATCAAGAATATGAGCAACAGTAAGTGTTGGTGAGGATGTAGGGGAAAGGGTACACTCATACCTTGCTGGTAGGACTGCAAATTAGTGCAACCACTATGGAAAGCAGTATGGATATTCCTCAAAAAACTTGGAATGGAAATACTATTTGACCCAGCCACCCCACTCCTTAGTTTATACCAAAAGGATTTAAGATTAGAATATTACAGTGACACAATGTTTATAGCAACTCAATTCATAATAGCTAAGCTATAGAAAAAACCTAGATGACCTTCAACAGATGAATGGATAAAGAAAATGTAGTACATATACACAATGGAATATTGTACTCAGCCTTAAAGAAGAATGAAATTATGGCATTTGCAGGTAAATGGATGGAGCTCGAGAATATCATGCTAAGTGAAATAAGCCAAACCCAAAGCACCAAAGGCTGAATGTTTTCTCTGATAAGTGGCTGCTGATCCCTAATGAAGGGGGGAGATTGTACAGAGGGGAGGGGGGGGTATGAGGATGGGAAGAACAGTGGGATGAAATGGACATTGTTACTATATATATATAAAATTACATTACTAGTGTGACTGCACCATGTTCAGCCAGAGGAAGGAGAAGTTGTGCTCCATTTGTGTACAATGTGTCAGAATGCATTCTACTGTCACCAATTGGAACAAATTTAAAAATAATAATAACAACCTGAGTGTTAGAGACAAGGAGACTTCCTATGTCTGTGAGGCTGTGAGGCTGTTTTCCTCCAAGGAGTCAGATACCTTGAGCCACCATCCCAGAAAAGCCCCACTTCCCACTCCTTGTTTACTGAACAGCATTCCCTAAGGAAGTGAACTTCCATTAGCAGGGTGGGAACAGTACCACAAAAGTTGCACTAGGGCTGAGGCTGTGGCTCAGTGGTAGAGCACTTACCTAGCATATGTGAGGTACTGGGTTCGATTCTCAGCACCACATATGAATAAAAAATAAAGGTCCATTGGTACCTAAAAAGTATATTTTTTCAAAAAAGCTGCACTTGGGCTGGGGTTGTGGCTCAGTGGTAGAGCGCTCACCTAGCATGTTCGAGGCCCTGGGTCAATCCTCAGCACCACATAAAAATAAATAAACAAAATAAAGGTATTTTTAAAACTCAATTACTTTAAAAAAAAAAAAAAAGCTGCACTAACTCACAAAGTTCTCTCTAAAATAATTGGAGTTGTGGCTCACTGGTAGAATGCTTGCCCAGCATAGGTGAGGCACTGGCTTCCATCCCTAGACCCACATTAAAAAAAAAAMAAACCTAAATAAACAAAAGTGTTTGCTGCCCCCGTCCAGCAAGCGCAACTGAACCAAAGTCACTCATGTGAATTTAGGTGACACAGAATACCTTTTTCTATGAGCTTCAGGACAGCTTCTCCGCCTTCCAGCCTCAGGATCCCACAAGGGGGCAAGAGAAAGTCAGGAGAGGCTGGGGGGAGGGGGGGAACGCACATTCTGGAGTTGGCTTCTATGCTGTTTCTTAGAACATTCTATTTCCAAAAAAAGGGGGGCAAGGGGTAGGATTACAAAGGAACAGGTGAGTGTAACTCAACCCCACCGGGTAACGCCTGCTCCAGGAACCACACCTCATTATCCCAGCAGAGGTAAAGGTCAAGTTATTGAGGGGCACAATAATTGTTCAATATCTCTTGCTCAGGACTTAAGGCCAGGTATTTCCAGAGCAGCTCCCAAGAGATATTGTGTCCATCTACAACTGAAAATATTAAAAATGACAACAATAATTAGAACAAATATAAGAGGACAGTTAATATTAACAGCTAACTTTTGTTGAGCTCTTATGATATGCCAAATACTCTGCTTTGTTTTATTTATTTATTCTTTCATGATGCTGGGGATCCTACCACTSAGCTATACATTCCAACTCCTTTTCTCAGCTCTTTATAAAATGATGATGAATTAAAGTACTATTTTAATAATAAGGTACGTGTTTCAGATCAAAGGACACTAAAGCACAGAAAGGTTAAATAACCTCCCAAAGTTAAACAGCTGCTAGGTAGTGAGCCTGAGATGCAGGCCGAGCCTGCCTACCTCCAGGGATTGCGTGCTCGACTGCTATCTGTCCATATTTCCCCGGGTCCTAGGTGATTTGGCACTAAGACATAAGAATGAGTAAAACTTGATTCTTCCCTTCATGGGAACCAGATAACAACTATTTTGATTCACTACTTTTAAAATCAAATAACAAACCTGAATTCTTTGGGATAAAAAGGGGTGCTAGGGATTGAAGGCACAGCCTTGAGCATGCCAGGTAAGTGCTTTATCACTAACTTACACCCCCAGCCTAAAACTCAATTCTTATAAAGTGAAGCAGCCAGAAGAATCCAATTGAGATAGGGTACACTATCAAACACAGGGCTTTGGACTTCTGAGCCTCCTCCCCTTTTATTTTTACTCTTGTTTTGATCACTGATCTGTAGGACACCCTGGGCCACTCCATTTCTTTCTTTCCTCCCTGCTCCTGCTCAGCCCTACCCCAAATTGAGGGGCTGTGGTATCTGACCCTCTCATTGAGAGGACTTTCTTCAGCCAAAATGTGCCTTAACCATTTACGGAAGAGAGCTTTTTACAGACAAGTCTGATGATAGTAAGCATCTTATTCACAAAATTTAAAAATATATATATGTTTATTTTTTAGTTGTAGTTGGACACAATGTCTTTATTTTATTTTTATGTGCTGCTGAGGATCAAACCCAAGGCCACGCCCGTGCTAGGCAAGCACTCTATCACTGAGCCACAACCCCAGGCTCTTATTCATAAATGTTTGAGCGGTCATTTTTGATAAAAGCTCATTCATTTAACCTCTTCACTTGTCAAGTGGCAAGTGTGGTTATCAGGACAGATAAGATAAACAGTGTGAAAGGATTTTGCAAACTCTAGGTACATAAGAAAGAAAACCCTCTATCAACATAAAGGTGGAAGTAAATGTTAAGGAAGATTAGGAAAAAGCCTGCCATTAATGCCACTGCTTGTTTGTGGGACAGAAAGAAAAGTGCAGTGAGCATTTTTGGTGAGTATCTCTCTTAGCAAAGCTCAAGAGAGATTTGGCATCAAGAAAGATAGCCTGGGCTGGGGTTGTAACTTAGTGGTAGAGCGCTTGCCTAGCATGTGTGTGGCACTGGGTTCGATTCTCAGCACCACAAATACATAAAGGTCCATCAATAACTAATAAAATATTTTAGAAAAAGAAAGGCCAAGCACATGCCTGTAATCCCAGCGGCTCAGGAGACTTAGACAGGATGGTCGCAAGTTCAAAGCCAGCCTCAGTAATGGCAAGGCACTAAGCAATGCAGTGAGACCCTGTCTCTAAATAAAATACAAAATAGGGCTGGGGATGTGGCTTAGTGGCCAAGTGCCCCTGAGTTCAATTCCTGGTACCAAAAGAGTAAGAAAAGAAAGATAGCCTGGTGTCAGGCATGGTAACACACATCTGTAAGCCTAGCAACTTATCTCAAAATAAAAAGAACTGGGGGTGTAGCTCAGTGATAGAGCTCCCCTAGATTCAATCAATCCTCAATACCACAAAAATAAATAATAAATAAAACACTTCCCTGCCCTGAGGGTGATTATACTAAAGTAAACAGATGAAGTAAACAAGGAAGAAGCATCAAACATTAAAATAAGGTGGCTTGGTGGAGTTGAGCTGGCTGGCTATGATTGAGTGGTCTGTGGAAACATCCCTGAGGAAGTGAGACACACAAATTGAAGTCTCAGTGGGAAGGAACCAACCACACAGCCAAAGGGGGACTAGAGTTGGAAATGAGTATTGTAGGGGGAACCACTCATTGATTGAGCAGAGAAGGACATTCAAGCTAGTTAGAGCCCCCCCCCAGGAAAGGAAAGGGGAAGGAATCCTTGGTAGTTGTTGAATCAAAGTGGTAGAGAGGGGTGAAGAGGGGGTCTCGGGAATGGGCAAGAGGAGAGATGATCATTCTGCACGATTTGTGAAGGCGATCCCAGAAATGGAGCTATGTGGAGGTTGGTGAGGTGCCCTTCTCCACAGGGAGGGAGTGGGCTAGAGTGCAAATTTTGGAAGGCTTGTAGATGTAATGGATGGTTAGAGGCCCCTCTTGGGTTATCTTTTCTGAAGAATTGTGTGACCGAAAAGCTGGCTAGCAAGGAATGGTCAGGAGCAGCCTGAGAGAAAGGCAGAAGGAGCCCATCTGTTCCTGCTCCCCAGGAAGTCAGGCTGTATCCCCTCCCATAGCAGGTTCTCGGGCCCCATTGCCTAGGGTTGGATGTGTCTTATGCTGATTCTCACTTTTCCCCTCATAGAGGCCAGACTGCATCCTGAACGCTGCTATGGAGGAGCCGCAGTCGGATCTCAGCATCGAGCCTCCCCTGAGTCAGGAGACATTTTCAGACTTATGGAACCTGTGAGTAGATGATTTTTCTTCCCGCGCCCCGCTTATTTATTTATTTATGATACTGGGCATTGAATCAGAGATACTTAACCACTGACCCATATCCCCTGCCCTTTGTTGTATTTTATTTAGAGACAGGGTCTCACTGATTTGTTTAGGGCTAAAATGCTGAGGCTAGCTTTGAACTCTCCATCCTCCTGCCTCAGCCTCCCAAGCCACTGGGATTACACGCATTCCCCACCATGCCCAGCCTGAGTAGATCCCATGGGAAGGGCAGGCCTGCTGCCCAGTCCCCCACAGATTAACCACCTCCTCCTGCCTTCCCCAACCCAGTCCCCAGCCCCCTAGCAGAGGCCTATGGGAAGCAAAAATCAATAGTGCTGACTTTCTGCTCTTATCTTTCAGACTTCCTGAAAACAACGTTCTGGTAAGGACTGGAGCTGGAGGGACTAGAGACTTGGTGGGCTAGTGGGCTGGGAACCCAGCCTTAAGACTCCTCTTTTGTCCATCCACAGTCTCCTGTATTGTCCCCTCCTATGGATGATTTGCTGCTATCTTCAGAAGATGTTGAAAACTGGTTTGACAAAGGCCCAGATGAAGCCCTTCAAATGTCAGCAGCTCCTGCACCAAAGGCCCCCACACCAGCGGCCTCTACACTGGCAGCCCCTGCACCAGCCACCTCTTGGCCCCTATCATCATCGGTCCCTTCTCAAAACACCTACCCTGGTGTCTATGGTTTCCGTCTAGGCTTCATTCATTCTGGGACAGCCAAATCAGTCACGTGCACGGTCAGTGGCTCTGGGGAGCAGGCTTTCATATGACCTTTCAATGCCTAGTCATATTCCCCTGTGTTTTGTGGTTTTGTTTTGTTGTTGTTGTTTTGGTCTGGAGCTTGAGGATTTCCTCTTTAGCCTTTGACTTCTTAGACATTATTACATTTTACCCATTTAGTCTGTGGACTTTGACTTCTGTCCCAAAGTTGAATTTTCTACTAGAGAGACTGAGTCCAGAAGGTCCCTTGAACCCAGGAGTTCAAAGCCAGCATTTGCAACACCATGAAACCCTGTCTTAAACAAAAAGCCAGGAATGTCATATATCTGTAAATCCAGCAACTTGGAGGCTGAGGCAGGAAGTTGACATGCTCAAGGCCAGCCTTGGCAACTTAGCAAGACCCTGTCTCAAAGAAATAAAAAGTAGTGGGAATGTAGCTCAGTAATAAAGGGACACTGGTTTCGGTCCCTATTGCAAAAAAAAAAAAAGAGAAAATAAACTCCCTATATGTAGACCCTAACTCCATTCTCTCTAGCTGCCCTCCCCTGTGGTTCCTGACATCTAATAGGTGCCCAAACAGTGCTTGTTCATTAAATCTCCTTTTTCCCTTGTTTCATTTATTGGCTTGTCCCCACCCTTCAACTCTTCTCCTTTCTTCTACAGTATTCCCCTTCTCTCAACAAGCTATTCTGTCAGCTGGCAAAAACCTGCCCTGTGCAGCTATGGGTTGACTCAACACCCCCACCTGGCACCCGCGTCCGCGCCATGGCCATCTATAAGAAGTCACAGCACATGACAGAAGTTGTGAGGCGCTGTCCCCATCACGAACGCTGCTCTGATAGYGATGGTTAGTGATCAGGGGCTTAAGATGGATCCAGCTGTCTGCCCAGGGTCCCCACGCCTCTAATGTGTTCCTGATTGCTCTTAGGCCTGGCCCCTCCTCAGCATCTCATCCGAGTGGAAGGAAATTTGCGTGCAGAATATTTGGATGACAGAAACACTTTTCGACACAGTGTAGTGGTGCCCTATGAACCTCCTGAGGTTTGCTTTGGCAGCTGGGGTCTCTGGGAGGAGGGGACTGGAAGGGATTGTCATTGGCTATTCAGGGGGAAGTAGGGAACTTTGTCTTGCTTTTTGTTTGTTTGTTTGTTTGTTTGTTTAAGTACTGGGGATAGAACTCAGGGCCTCACATGTTAGGCCAGTGTTCTACCACTGAGCCACACTCCCAGCCTGCCTGCTTCTTATTCAGTGTCTTCCCAACCTTGGAAAATTTGCAGAGGAAAAAGGGTTACCCCTATTTCCTTAAGTGAAGAAACGGAAGCTTCTAGAGGCTGCAGGCCTCCCTGTCTGACACAGATCTTGTTCTTCCCAGGTCGGCTCTGAGTGCACCACCATCCACTACAACTACATGTGCAACAGCTCTTGCATGGGAGGCATGAACCGACGGCCCATCCTCACCATTATCACGTTGGAAGACTCTAGGTAGGGATCTGCATGCCACCCTTCACACTGGCGTTCTCCTTTCCAGCCTCTGCCTGTCCCTGTCCCCACCCCCTACCACACTGTCACTCATTGTTAACTTTCACCTTTCCTCCACAAGTAGGACTTCCTCTGCTGTTTTCTCTCACCTTCCTATTCTCTGGTTTTGGGATCTATCTTACCATTGGCTTCTCCTTAGTGTCCCTGGAGCAGGAGCTCAGGCTCCAGAGGGGAAAAATGCAATTAGGAGTAGGTGGGGCCTGATTTACCGACAGGGTGAGTAGGACCCAGTTTCTAACTTCCTCCTACTTCTCTCATCCTGTACAGTGGTAACCTGCTGGGACGGAACAGCTTCGAGGTACGCGTGTGTGCTTGTCCCGGGAGAGACCGCCGCACCGAGGAGGAAAATTTCCGCAAAAGAGGAGAGCCTTGCCCTGAGCCACCACCAGGGAGTACTAAGCGAGGTAAGCAAGCAGGACAAAAAGAGGTGGACGGGGAAGAGAGGGTGTAGTTCTGTCCAAAATTCACTCTTTTCTCACCTTTTCCCCAGCACTACCCACTGGCACCAGCTCCTCTCCCCAGCCAAAGAAGAAACCACTGGATGGAGAATATTTCACCCTTAAGGTACCAAGTCTGAGAGAAACACGTAGTCTCTTGCACATACTAATTGGAATTGAAGAAAATATGTATTTATTATTTCCTTTGTTCATATACTAGACTCTTAGAGTAAGTTATTATCAGATTGCAAGTTTTCAGCCTAGCACTTTTGGCTGCTTTGCCTGCAATTAGGGCATTTGTCATCAGAGGATAGTGCTGCCTCAGACAGTGACCCTTGGTTGTACCCAAAGTGAGAGAACACTTTGTATAAAGTGAGAATACTTGTACCATAGTATAATGCTTCTCCACTTACGATGGATTTGCCTCCCAGTAAGCCCATTGTAAGCTGAAAACATTAACAAATCAAAAGAGCATTTGGGCTGGGGTTGTGGCTGGATTGTAGAGTGCTTGCCTAGCATGTGTGAAACCCTGGGTTCAATCCCCAACACTGCATTTAATCCACCTAACTTATCATACATCACAGGTGAGCAATACAGTATACAGTACAATATCATGGTCATGGTCATGTAGCTGACAGACCTGCAGCTTACTGCCACTGCCCCATATTGACAAAGAGTATCATACTACATAATGCTAGTCTGTAAAAGACCCAAAATTGATATCCACTTTCTACTATCACTTTTGCACCATTGTAAAATAAAAAACCACTGTAAGTTCAGGACCATCTGTATTTTTTTTTTAATTTATTTATTTTTTTATTGGTTGTTCAAAACATTACCACCATCTGTATTAATAAGGATCATCTTTCAAAAGGAAAATTGTTGGGCTCAGGGTATAGCTCAGTGGTAAAGCACTTGCCTAATATGTTTGAGACCCTGGGTTCCATCTCCAGCCCTATAAAAAGGGGAAAAAAAAAAATATTTCAAGACAGACATGGTGGTGTATGCCTGTAATCCCAGTGGTTTGAGATGCTAAGGCAGGAAGACAGCAAGTTTGAGACCAACCTCAGTAACTTAGTGAGACCCTGTCTCAATAAAAAATGAAAAGGGGACTGGGGATGCAGTCAGTGGTAAAGTATCCCAGGGTTCAGTCCCTTGTACAAAAAAAAAAAAAAAAAAAAAACATGAGCCAGAGAGTTGGGACACTGAAGTAGGGGGGTTACAAGCTCAAGGCCAACCTTGTAACCTAGTAAGACCGTTTCTCAATAAAATTTGAAAAAAAGGGCTGGGGACTAGCTTAAGTCTTAGAGTGCCCCTGGGTTCAATCCCTAGTAGTATGCCTCCCTCCAAAAAAGAAGACAGCTAGAAAATGGTTCTGTGACTTTGCCCAACTTTCTCCATCCCCCTTCACCCCTGCTGCAGATCCGTGGCCGTGCACGCTTTGAGATGTTCCAAGAGTTGAATGAGGCCCTGGAGCTCAAGGATGCCCAAGCTGAAAAGGAGCCAGGGGAGAGCAGGCCACACCCCAGGTGAGTGACTGTGACTGGGCCCTGTCCCCTCCCTACTAGATTGGAAAACCATAGGACTCCATTCCAATTCTGCCTTCATGGTAAAAGATAGTAGATCCCATCCCACTGGTCCTGTCCCTTCTCAGTGTTCCTTAGTGTTCCTCCTGTTATATCATACAACCATGTCCCTGTCTCTGGCTCCTCTAACGTAGCAATGAGCATGAATGTTTCTTTGCCATCTTGGCAATTCCTAACTCAGAGCTGAGGGGTTGAAGGGTGGGGAGCCTAGTAATTTTATGAAACTGATGGGCAGAACCAGTTGGGGGTCACTCAACCCTGCCAAGTACTAGCAGGTACTCTGTGATCTTGTTACTCGCCCTTCTCATGCTGTTTCCTCGTGATATAAGGGAAGATGAAGGGATTGATACACACAGTTACCCCCCAAGTGCTCAGGGAACATGTATGACCATCTTAATTTAAATTCCCCTTGTGCCAGCCTTATGTCATCTTTCCTCATCCCCTTTTCTGTTTTCCCTACAGCTACCTGAAGTCCAAGAAGGGGCAGTCTACCTCCCGTTATAAAAAAATAATATTCAAGAGAGAGGGGCCTGATTCAGACTGACATCCTCTGACTCTTGTCTCCCACCCCCACCCCTGCCCTCCTTCCCTAGCATTTTGGAACTTGGGTGCTTGAATCCCTGCTTAGTATAGATGTGCCTCAGAAATGCTTAGGAATTCTGCTATTTGTCTTGTCTATAGTTTCACTCAAGTCAGCCTGCACTGGTGTTTTGGGGAGAGGTGAGAGCTAAGACATACCTATGGCTTAGCTTTAACTGTGAAGAGTGGGAGATGGAAGAAAATGTTCTTGCATGTAAGGGTTAACCTACAACCAGCCATCCGATGGGTTAAAAGCCCTTCTTCAACCATGCCGACCAGAAAAGCTAATTTCTCCTAACTTCAATACCCACATCTATAAAATGTTGATCATCGTACCTACCTCACGGGGTTTGTTGTGAGGGTTAATGAAATAACGTGTGTCTGGCTTTGAACTGCCTTGTATTAGGAGGTGGCTGGGACTTGGCCCCCTTGTGGTTGTTGGTTTCCTGCCCCTGTTAGGGCAATGTGTTGATGGTTTCCAAGATTGAGCAGCTGGTTAAAGGGAAGGAGTTGCCAAGTCTGCTGGCCAGCCAAATCCTGTCCAACCTCTTGTTGAACCTTGGCACCTGAAATGAAATCTTATCCCATCCCACAGCCTGGAGGATTCCATCTCRGGCTTATATAGGATCTGTGTCCACCAAGATCTGTTTTACTTCCCCCATATGCTCAGGGTCAGGTTTTTGTAGTTTTGGGGGGTTTTTTAATTTTTTTTTTATTTTTTTATTTGTTTGTTGGCAAGACAAATCTGCCTTTGTTACCCCATACCCTTTCTCTCATTTTATATCCCCTTTTTATATCGATTTCTTGTTTTACAATAAAACTTTGCTACCACCTGTGTGTTTGGTGGATGGGTATCCACACTGGCTGCCTGGGCCCCCRGGTGCAGGGATGAGTATGGAGGTCAAATTGGGAGATAGCCCCCTGGGTCTCAGGATGGGTGGGCTGAAGGGGGGGGGGCAGCGCTTAGGCTCCGGAGGGGAACAAAGGCTGGGGACTGGGTCAGTCTGTGGGCTGCATGACAACAAGGGAGAGGGGTGACTCCATTCATAACTTGGGAACCAACTGTCCCTCCTCCCCTCCTGCCAAGGCTGGCACAAAGTTCTCACCCGCCCCTGCTTCTAGGGTTGGGCTGCTGTCTCCTCGGCAGCCTCTCACCAAGGATTATGGGATTTAAATGTCTGATTTAGCAAGCCTGAGCCTCCCGGGTAGCCATCTGCTCTACAGAAAAGGGGCAGGGTACCTGGGTCCCCAAGGGGAAGGGAGTGGGTGCTACTGGATGAATAGAAAGACCAGTGGAGGCTTGTCATATGGGGTCCCAGGGAACCGGGGGCAGCTAAGGTGAGAGTTGGGGCTTTCCCAGCATCCTCTCATCCTGGGCCTGGTGCCAGGCAGTTGAATGAATTGAAGCTTTACACTCTGCCAGGAAAACCTTTGAAAGGGCTTCTTGGGCTAGGGAGGACAGTCAGGGTTGGGGAGCCCAGCATGTCCTGCCTGCCCTGTTGCTTAGTGCTGCTGACTCCTAGGGAGGGGTGCTGGGGGCCAGGCYTTCCCCATTGGAGGCTGTGTCTTGAGCCAATGCCCACAGGGATAACAAGTCAGTAGGCACATGGCTTGGCCTCTTGTCTCTTCCCTGGTGATGGAGCGAGGTGTCTAAGGTACAGAGAGACCTTGGAGCCACCATCTATAATCTATAAATCAGTGCCTATGGGGGTTTGCCTTGCCCATGTCCCAGACACCTAGAAAGACACCCCATCCTCAACACCACCATTTTTCTTGCTCACTAGGAAATGAGTATCAAATGCTCTTCCAAGAGACCCAGCTTCACTTCTTTGGGATAATAACTTTATTCATTCATTGGTGGTGCTGGGAATCAAACCCAGAGCTTTGCACATGATAGGCAAGTGCTCTGCCACTGGGATATACAACCCCAGCCCCAGATACTTTAATTTTGTCTTTTTCCCCAACCTACTAGGCAAACCAGAACTCCTGAAACTCAGTTCTTACTCCTCTGAGAAGCAAAGGACACTTAGAAGCTTCATTGTTCCTTTTTTCTCCAGTTTTATTGGGAGGTACAATTGACCCCAAAATAGGTACACAGTATGATAACTTGAGCATGGCATGCTAATGCTCACCTGCAGTCCAGACACTCAGGAGGCTGAAGTGGAAAGATCTCTTGAGCCCAGGAGTCAACATGCACACATCATAAGATGATTACTACAATTAATACTGCTCTCACCATGCAGTTACCATTTGTGTGTATGTGGGCAATGGACACAAGATCTACTCTGCAAATTTCTGCTAAACAGAAAAGTTGTCTTTTTTTCTTTTCTATGCTGGGAATTGCATGGATCAAACCCTAGCCTTGTACATAGTTGGCATGTTCCTCTAGACTGTGTCTTTAGCTGTTTTTTACTGTTGTACTGCAAAAAGCCGATCCGTTCTGGCTCCATAGATTCCTTCTTTGTGAGCTGATTTTCAAGCCAGCTCTGCAGTGAGCTGTGTGAACTTCCATGAGTCACAGACTTCTCTGGTTCCACTTATTGCCATCGTTCCTTCTGGTTGTAGTCATATCTTCTTTCCATCTACTCAATAGGTTTTCACCTGTGCCTTACTCTACCGAACAGTGAGGACCTGTGGGCAACTCTGCCCTGCAGCTGAAAGAGCCCTTATCCAACTGAGATCTGGAATCAAATCTTGCAGTTTCCTCCTGGCTCTAATCCAAGTTTGCATTTTTATGTCAGTATGTCCCTTTTTCTTTTCAGCAGGGCAGGGGAGTGTGGGAATTAAAACCAGGTCCTTGAGTGTGCTCTATCCCTCTATCCCCCATTCTATTTTTTTAATTTAGAAAACTTTACTAATTTCAGTAACTCAGGTGCCCAAATCTATAAGTGGTACTCTGGGAAAATAGAGCCTTAAATGCTTCCATTGTTAAAAAGGAAAGAAAGAAAACAGCTGATAGTCCATACCTATAATCCACCTACTCTGTGGGGCTGAGGCAGGGTTCTAAGTTCCAGGCCAGCCTGGGCATCTCAGATAGATCCTGTCTTAAAAATAAAAAAGTGTTGAAGAGGGCAGGGATTGTGGCAAAGTACTTGCCTAGCATGTGTGAGACACTGTGTTTGATTCTCAGCACTGCATATAAATAAAATAAAGGTCCCTCAATGACTTAAAAAAAAAAAAAAAACGTTTTGAGGGTATAGCTCAATGGTAGAGCATCCCTGGTTCAATTCTCAGTACCATCAAAAAAATAAAAATTTTGCTGAGGGCTGGGAATGTAGGCTCAGTGATAGAGCACTTGCCTAGCATGAATGAGGCCCCAGGTTCCATCCCTGTCATAAGGGGGAAGAAAATTATGCTGACTTCATTAATATTAAAAACTTTATGAAGATACTAAAAGATGAGAAACCAAATTCATTTATAAATATAGATGCAAGATTCTAAAATATTATCCGAATAGAATAGTGAATTTTAAAAATGTTACAACCAAATAGTTTATTCGAGGAGCACAGAATTGGTTTAACAGAGAATCAATGTAATTAATTATATTAACAAAGAAAAAATTTATATGATCATATCAACAGAGGCTGAAAGGAATTTCATTAAATTTCAGCAGCCATTCCTTAAAAAAAAAAAAAAACTTTAATTGAAACATAAAGGACTGGTATTAGAATACCAATAAGTCGGTACTATCCTAAATAATTAAACACTAAGATAATTTCAATTAAAATGGAAATTAAACCACTGGTTAAAAAAAAAAAAAAAAAAACTGCCATTTGGTGGGGGAAGGGGAGGCTTGCTAGGGATTGAACCCAGGTCCTTACACATGTTAAGCATGTGTGTTCTACCACTAAACTATATCACCATCCAAAGTTTTAAATTTAAAGAAAATAATAAATGCCCAGTAGTTGTTTAAAAAGCAGGAGGGGAATGCTGGGGTTGTGGCTCAGCAGTAGAGCACTTGCTAGCACATGCAAGGCCCTGGCTTCGATCCTCAGCACCACATATAAATAAATAAAATAAGGAGGTATTGTTTCCAACTACCACTAAAAACTATTTAAAAAAAAAAAAACAGGATAGGAGGCTGGGGATATAGCTCAGTTGGTAGTGTGCTTACATATGCATGCACAAGGCCCTGGGTTTAATCCCAGCACCACCAAAAAAAAAAAAAAAACAAAACAGAATGGGACTACGGTATGGCAGTGGAAGAGGGCTTGCCTAGCATGCAGGAAGTGCACACCTGATTCCCAGCACCAAACCAAAAAAAGGGGGGGGGGAAGGCCCTATATCCTTGACAGATATCAGAAAACATCTATAAAATTCCAGAAATCAGCCAGGTGCAGTGGTACACTCCTAGTCCCAGCTACTTGGGACACATTAAGACAGGAGGATTCCAGGTGTGAGCCCAGCCTGGGTTAAAAAAAAAAAAAAAAAAAAAGGTCTGGAGATATAGCTCAGAGATAGAAGACTCTAGATTCAATCCCCAGTTCCTGGGGTGCAGGGTAGGAAGCCTCCTGTAATCAGATCACTATGTCTTGGCTTATGGATTGGTAGACAAGCCAGGGGAAGTAACGAGTCCAGATCACTGCATATAGGAACATCATTATATGATCAAAGTTGACATTTCAACTCAATGTGAATAAATTATAGTTGTTGTTTTCAAATAAAGTTAGCACAACTAGAAAAATAAAAATAATAGTGGGCTAGGTACAGTGGTCAATGCCTGTAATCCCAGAAGCTTCTGGAGGCTGAGGCAGAATTGCAAGTCCAAAACCAGCCGCGGAAACTTAGCAAGCCCCTAAACAACTTAGTGAGACTCTGTCGCTAAAATTAAAAAAAAAAAAAAAAAGCTGGAGGTGTGGTTAAGTGCCCCCGATTACCAAAAAAAAAAAAAAAAAGTCAGAGCACAGTGATTCACAACTATAATCCTCACAACTCTGGAGGCTGAAGCAGGAGGATCACAAGGTCCTCTTGGCAATTTAACAAGACTTTTCTCAACACACAAAAAAGGGACTGGGGGTGGGAGGCTGGGCGCCGTGACCCACTCCTATAATCCCAGTGGTTCAGGAGGCTGAGAAAGGAGGATCATGAGTTCAAAGTCAGCCTCAGCAATAGCAAGGCACTAAGCAACTCAATGAGACCCTGTCTCTAAATAAAAATACAAAACAGGGCTGGGAATGTGGCTCAGTGGTCGAATGCCCGAGTTCAATCCCCAGTACACCCCACAAAAAAAGGACTGGGGGTGTAGCACAGTGATAGAGCACCCCTAAGTTAAATCTCAGTCACTTAAGGGGAAAACCTATGTATGCATTAAAGTTGTTGTTCAAAGTAAATACTAAGACCAACTTGTTGTAAAAACAAGAAGCAAAAAACAAGCCCCACAAAGAAAATAAAAATTAGCTATCAACACATTCCCTCCCCCATAACCACAATAAACATTGTATATATCCATTCATCTTTTGTTTTATATGGACAACGTGTGTGTGTGTGTGTGTGTGTGTGTGTACATAAAATTAGGACCCTACAGTTCCTAATCTCTTGATTTTGAAATCTCTTTCTCCTGGTCAATTTTTCCCACCTGTCTCTAAACTTGTGGATACTCTTCTGTGCCAAACTACTCCATCCTTTTAAGCTCCAGTTTCAAGTTGCTTCCTCTAAGAAACCTTCCCTTCAAAGCCCCCAACAGAAAGTGTGGACCACTCTTAATTTTATCATTACCAATTCTGTGACCTTCCTTGAAGCACATCGGGGTCTACCATGTATGAAAGTTTCTCCCGTGCTCTTCACCTCTCCCATTAAACTAGGGAGCTCCTTTGGGACAGGGAGTCTCCCTCTTTCATAAGTATGTCCTATGGTGCCTAGAATGCATACAGTAGGCACTTTATAAGTCTCTCTGTACAAGAGAATGTAGGCTTCCTTCCCTCTTGAGTGATCTCAAGATAGTGTGTATTAAATTGGTTGAAGGCGAAGAGGGTGGATGCTTGGACACTGGAAGGAAAGAGTCAAAGCTGGGAGCAGCCATTTAAAACCGGCGTAACCCTTGGGATCACCCAAATCCACCCTCTACTCACCTCCCAGGGTGGTTCTAAATGATCAGAAAGGAAAAGCCTGCACACCGGGCTCCGTGTATGATATATATTTATATATATAATTGCTCTTATTTTATTGTACTTTATCCTCTTTTTACAGTAGATCTGACACAGGCATTAAATAACTGCAGAGACCATTGGGGGGGGGGTGCAGGAAAACATGGGGACCCAAAAGGAAGAGAGAGATCCAGGGAAAGGAAAACTCCACTTGTGGGTGGAGTGCAGAGGCTGCAGCATTAATAAAGAAAAGGAAAGTTAGAGACGGTGGGGAAGAGAAGGGAAACCAGAGGAGAAGGAGTTAAAAATGCCTCTCTAACTAAGGAATACTCAGAGCAGGAGGCCCCTCATTTAACATTCTATGGGCATTATGGGTTTTTTTAAAAAGGCAAACGGGTCTGAAGGAGATGGAGCCAAGAAATTCAGAGCCTAGATTGAGGGGAGTATTTGAAACTTTCAGGCTGGCATGCAAAGGGAAGGGAAGGAGGGTTGTGGTCAGCCCATAACTTGTTAGGAAAAGCCAGAGAGAGGATGGTGGGGGCAGCTCTGGGCTCAGGGGAAGGAGGTGGACTAGTCCCCCCAGCCAGCTGACATTTCTAAGGTGGCCACTGGGGATGGAGCCAAGATGGCTGCCCCTCCCCCAGAGCTCCCTGGGAAATAGAACTTGAAGGATATTCTGGGAAGGCAAATGGGGGAAGGGAGCTATCGGTAAAAAACAAAGTAGATATTCAGCCTAGGTCAAGCGGGCTTCTCTGAGTAGTAGCTATTTGGATAACAGGAGGGACCAGAAGGAAGTGGAATCAGGGATCACTACAGAATTTTCTAGAGGAATCAACATGAACTCCTCTCTCAGTTCCTCATTTGCTGGCTCATGGAGTCACCATGAGATGAAGCAGGATGTGCCATGAAAGAGGGAAAAGGCCACAGAACCAACTTGTCCTTAATTACAAATGGCTGCCTTTTAGAGGAGGGAATAAGGATAGGCAGGAGGAGAGGAAAGACCTGCTGAGGAACCAGAAAAGTCAAAGCTACCAAGACAGCAACTGTAGAGATAGGAAATAAGGATGCAAGAGAGAAGGGTACAAGAGCTAGAGCTTAGGAATGGGAGAAGGGAGTACCAGGTTCATTTCTGTGAAGGAAAGGGCTGAAATGAGATGTGTGTGTGTGTGTGTGTGTGTGTGTGTGTAAGTAGGCATTTTCTATGCTCTCAGGGAATGAGGGCAGAAGTGGGAGCTCACAACTAACTCAGAACTAGAAAGACTCCTAACTTCTCTGTGGTCATCTTGGTAGTCAATCTATTTGTCTCTGACTGAGCTAAGTGTAGGTGGCTCAAAAGATGGTGGACAATGTGTATAGTCAGGGAATCACAGTGGACATCAGATTGGGTTGAAAAGTCAAGGAAAAGGGGGTGAGGCTCAGACAAGTCATAGCTCTGTTATAAAAAATACCTTTGGGGGTGAGGGAGGGATCAGGCAGGGTCAGGGACATTCCAGAAGCATCCACAGGAGAAGTGGGGGCGGGAGGAAGAGGGACCTCAGGTTTTGTTGATGCGGAGTTTGAAGGCCACACGGCCAGCAAACTTGTCTCGCTCATCATCTGTGGCGATGTTGGCAGCATTGATGCGGCATTCCACATTCACCTCCACGTTGGGGGTCACATTCAGGAATTTCACAGCCACCAGGGGCTGTGTGTAGTTCACCTGGGTCAGAAGAGGAAAGTTGCAGATCTAATCCTAGGACAGCTCAGCCTCCTTCCCCAAAACCCCATAGCATCCCTTCAAAGGAGCCATCATCCCAGGCTCCCATGGGACTTACATGGAACTTTTTGCCATAGTAGGGGAAGTACATGAGGTCAATGTGGCCATTGGCAGGGAACATGACAAAGTGACCAAGATTCTCAGCATCTTCATTTCGCTGTAGGGTGCAGGAAAGTAGGGAGTGAGCATGTTAGAAGTGGCAGACACCCAGAAGTTCACTAGATTTCTCTTTGTATTTCCTCACCCCAAATTATTCCTATCTTGAATCTGTTTCTCAAGTTGTGCATTTGTGTGTGGTGTGTCTGTATAACTATACAAGGGGATAGCCTGTCTCTCATCAAACGGGAAACTCCTGAAGGATGCTAATGACACCAAAACTTCCTACTCCACTACTGCCCCAAGTTCTTACCCCATCCTTGGGAATCGGTTTCTGGAGCAGAGCCAAGAGAGAACAAATAAACAATAAGGGTTCAGTAGGAAGAAAAGGAAAGGCTAATGGAGAAGGACAAGTTTCTGGAGAGGTTAGTGGGGACAACAGGGTTCCAAGGAGAACTTAATGGTGGTAGCAGACGGTTCTAACAGATTAGCAGCTACCAGATACCTAAAGGGAACTCAGATGGGAGGGAGAGCAGGAGAAATGGACAATCTGGAAATAAAGGAGAAGATAGAAAGCTTAGGAGGAGAAGCCAGAGGCCAAGGCATTGATGAAGGAGGGGATGGGTCTATCCTCAGGAGACCTAGGTTCTGCATCCTAGAGAGAAGCTAGAGGAGTTGAGAATCCCTTAGAGTTAAAGCCACACTGGAGCCCACTCTTACCCCCTTGTCCCTGTAGTGTTGGGGCCTCTGGGAGCAAAAAAATGGTAATAGAAGGATAAATTACTCGGAAACCAGGAAGGACAAACAGGTGGACGGATGGATAAGGTCCACAAACTCACCTTCCCAGCACAAGTAACATTCATGCTCTGGTTTGCACCTGCATAGAAGTTGATCACCTGGAGTGAGAAAGGAGGATGGTGAGAGTTGGAGGAAGTCACCTTACAGGCATCCAACTTTAGAGCTTAGCCTCTAAAAACCCCACCTCTCTTGTCCTTTTAGCTATTCAAACAACAAAAAAATCTCTCTAGGGCTGGGGTTGTGGCTCAGTGGTAGAGCACTTGCCTAGCACGTGTGTGGCATTGGGTTCGATCCTCAGCACCACATAAAAATAAATAAAATAAAGGTGTCCATCTACAACTAAAAAATAAAAAATAAAAATCTCTCTGATTTCCATTAACCCCAATGAAAGGATGCAACAGTCAACAGGTGGTGGCCCCAGCTCCCTCCTCCAATTTCCCTGGGGACCAAGGCCATGGGTACCCGGTTCATCTTGATGAAGACACAGGGCTGCCCAGTGCTGTAACCATAGTGGGTAGGGTCCCCGATGCCAGAGCAGTTGCCCAGCTGGGTCCGGTTGAATTGGCAGGCACGTTTCGGGTAGTTGAGGACCCCATTATCTGGCTGTTCGTAATAGTGCCCAGGGCGGCAGACATCATTCTTTTGGGCTTGGATGGAGTCGTTGTAAGCTAAGGAGTGGGAGGGAGAGAGTCACAGGCCTAATGTTCTACTTCCAGGGTCCCCAATCCCCTGCCCAAGGTTATATACTGGCACATAGCCAGCCACACACTCACGCTCCAAGAACTTGTTGAGCTTCTGAACGTGCTGATCCCAACTTTCAGTGTCACTGATGTTGACAATGACATCAAGGTTCTCAGTCTTGGGGCGAATCATCAAGCCTATAACCAACACGAGCAGGAAGAGGAGTATATAAAAGATGAGAGGCCACACAGAGGAAAGAAAACATGGGGAACCCCAGGATGAAGGAGGGGATAGAGATCTGAGATGGTCTTCCTGTGAGTTTCTCCCAACCCCCAGATCACATCACTTCCAGCTGCATGATATAGGAAGGAAGGCAGATTTCAAGAATTTCCCAGCACATGGTGATTGGGTCATCAGAACCAGTCTCCTGAAAAGAACTGTGAGTTCCTTTTGAAGGTTTGGGGGCACAATGGCTGTTAGAGTGGCTGGTTGGGGGAACCTCATCACTCACCCGGTGTGGCCAGTCGATCCTGGTACTTGGGTGTATGGTCAGAGACAGTCTGCAGCATCACCCACATGGTAAGGGTGAACATGGCCGTAAGGAAGCCATAGAAGACAAGGTAGAAGAGGAGGATGAAGGCTAGAACGAAGAAGGAAATAGCAGATTCTAAGTCTCCCATCATGATCTCACCTAGCCCCATTTACCATTTTTCCCACTCACATGTTCTGCCCTGAGTTGGGCTGCTGAGCCACAGGATGTCTTCGAGCCTACCCCGCGGTGCCAAATGAAACAAACTGGAAAAAGGCAGTGTGTCCAGCTTCCAGCCATGACTCCAAGCCTACTGCTGGTCCTAGGGCACAGTGAAGCCTGACCTTGCAGAGGCCACAATAAACCCTAACTTTCATTGCTGTGATAACCACAAGAACAGGCCACTGTCATTTTGCCCCTAATTACACTTCCAACTTCTCAATCATGCAGGGTTCTGAAAAGGAACATTTTTTTTTTTTTACCACTATTTTGGTACACATGCTCAAAGCTGTCTAGTGCAATGACTTTTAAAGCTGGCACTGGCCACTATTCACAGCTAAACTCTCACCACCCTGCAGAGCCTGGACCCTCAGGCTCAAAGAGCAAAATCTTTCTTTTGGCACACCACAGCATCCAAATCTTCAAAGCAGCTCCTGAAATAAAGGGCCTAACACTCTGGCTCAGCTACAAAGTGTCGGGGACAGCTGTCAGATCTTCAGCAGACACCCCACCCTCAACTCACACATGGAACTCTGGACAGAGACTGGGAGAAAATCTGGAATTCCCCTCAGTCTTCCCTTGACTCCATCTCTCTGTCTCTGCTCTCTCACAGCCTCGTATAAGGACGTGTTGATCCCACCACCCTTCCACCTCAGAAGACACTTCCTCTGTGAAGTCCTCAGATTGTCCCAGGATTCAAAGATCCCTCACATCTCAGGGGCTGGGCCTCAAGCTCCCTGAAGGCAAAGATTGCATTAGATTCTCCTCATGGGCCAGTAAAGCCCTAGATAGGTGGTCTGATGAGGACAGTGTCCAATCAGAATGGATAAATTGTAAATTGTCACAGAATCCCTTGTGCTTGGACTCCCCAGCTTGACAATCCTTTTTAGAAGAATTTCACCTTCCATCTGCACCTGTGCCTATCACCAGACCCCTGACCTCATCAGGGTTCCTCCACATCCCCTGAGTCTTGCCATGGTAAGGGTGGGGAAGGTTCCCCAGGCCATTGGAGTTCCACAGACACCAGGACTGATGATGTATCCATTTCACCAGTGACCACTCCTCCCTCCACCATTGACATTTGAGCAGAATATACAGCCCTTAGTGTCGCCCCTTCCCCAGCAGCATCCTATCCACAAAGCAGCCAGGAAGGCTCCAAACACCCAGTAGTGGGATATAGACAAACAACTTCCGCTGTGAAGAACCCTCCTACACCCCCCTCCCAGACCCGCCCCCTCATGAATGTTCCCAGGGTCCAGGGGTTGGGCTCCAGCTAAAAATAGACGGGGTTGGCTAGCTGAAGAGAGCTGGAGGGAGGGAAGGGGCACTCTTTGGAGGTTGGGGGTTGACGGTGTACTGTGACAAGCCCAGAGCAGGAGCTCCGCGGCGCGGACACGCGCGCAGAGCTCGCGACCCCCCGCCCGAGGGGGCTCCGCAGGGGGCGGGAAAGCAGCAGTGACCTACTTTCTCCGCCTCCGCAGCGGCCAGCCGGGAAGATTAGACCGGTGATTCGGCCCCCTCCCAGTTCTGAGCCCGGCAGGGGGGCCGGACGCCWGGGACCCGGCAGGGGAGCTGGGGCCTCGCTGGCGGGACCCTGTACCCTCGAGGCGTCGCCCCGCTACCTCCCCCAGACCCCTCGTACCCCAGCTGGTCCCAGTGCGGCCCATGAACTGGTGCGTCCTCGGATTCCACACGAACTCCTTCCACTCCTCAACCACCTGCCCGCAGCTCTTCTTCTCTTTCTGGATGACCATCTTGGCCGCGCGGGGAGAGTCCTGAGGCGGGGCCGGGGGCTGCAGAGAAGCGGGGGTGATGCGCGCCGAAACCCTTCACGCACTGGAACGAGCGGGAAGCGAAGGCGGAGGGAGCGAGGGAGACCCCCCCTCAGATATGCAGCTGCTGTAAATTCCGGGGTGCACGGCCACGCGCTGCGGGGTGCTAGCAGCCCGGCGGAGGTGCACCGATCTTAGGCCCCCCGACTGCGATGAAAAGGGGGGCTGTCAGAGCAGGGGAGGATGACAAGGGGAAGGGGTGCGAATGCAGTTTCACCCCKCAAACCGTCTAGAAGCAAAACGAAAAGGGATGCAAGAACAGACGGCTACAAAACCCGAACGAAACGCAGAAAAAAGCGGGGCGCAAGGAGGCAGGGAAAGGTGGGGGAGGGGGCTGCCCCGAAATCCGAGATGCAAAAAGGCTGTGGAACGCGGCAGGTGGCGGTTCAAAGCTCCTCCGCCAAGCGGAGACCGCCGCACCACTGGTGGCCCAGCCGTGGGGGGTGGGGCGGGGACGCGCAGTTGAGGGACAGACTGGGATGGGGGGTCCCCCAGGCGGAGGCTCCGCTCCTCAGCAGTGCGGGGGCCCCCAGTCGCTGCGCGCGGTCTTTATACTCTGCGACTCCGAGGGTACCCGCCCTTTCCCACCCCCAGAAGCCCCGCCTCCTCGACGCTAGCCCGGGCGACCTCATACATATGCAAATATGGAGAGGGATTGGGACTGCCCCCTGCCGCCTCTTTGGGAGTAGGCGGTCTCTTCCCTACCCCCACGCTTGGACTGGAACGGAGTAGGGAAAAGGAATACAACTCGTGTCTGGATGGAGTGGAGGGAAAAATAACCCCAAAGCGACTCATAGGTGGAGAGGGGCTCCGCAGGGAGTTAGAAGGAGACCAAGATAGTGATGCTGCGGAAGACTCCAGGACACAGGGCAGAATGTGAGAGGAATATAGGGAAAGAGTAAGAGATCAAGAAAAATCAGAGTGAAGAGATCAACCAAGACGCTGGACCAGTTGGGATGTAAGCTAGACTAAGCCACACAGAAATGGATAGAAGCCATCATAGTACACTTCTTCCTCCAGTCTCACAGTCTATTGTCCATTCCACCTGATTACGTGCATATGGCCTTTTCCATCTTTCCCAAAGCTTTCCCAGTCCTAGCATTAACCTGAGACCCCAACCCTACAGTCAGGTCTCTCTCCCGTTAGCATCCCCCACCCCATGTCTGATCTCTCCTCACTTGCTTATTTGGATCAGCAAACATTTATTAAGCACCTACTAGAACCAAAGTGCTGCTCTTAGCCCTGGAGAGGCCAAGAATTTTTAGACTGACGTTGCAGCTTTCACAGGACTAGAGAGGCCCTTTCCAGTAGGAAAGACCTCTAAATACCACACCAGAATCATTATCTCAAGGCCAGGGTATGGCTCAATGGTAGGGCACTGAAGTTACATGTGTGAAGCCCTGGATTTTTTCCCTACATAGCAGAATGCTTATCTCTGTTTTTTTTTCCCCCCCTCATCTTTCTTCAAATATGTCACTTGTGGGGAGGTTTTCTTTTCTTTTCAACTCTCTAAATTCTTGACTCTGGTCCTCACTGTCTCACATCTTGACTTGTCAAACTCACTCCATTTAGTCCAGGCCACCTACCTGTTGGAAGACCTGCTCAGCTGCACAAGCATGAGCTCAGAATTGCTTGGTTTAATGTTCCACTGTTGCCAACTTGAAATTCTTAAGTTTTGGCTTTGAACTTGTGCTTTGTAAGTAAGGTCCCAGGGGATATTGGAATATTCATATGAGCAAAGGAGATAATATTACACCCAGTCCATTTGAGATGCTCTATGAACATGGAATAATAATTATTCCTAATTATTCCTAAGAGGAGTGGGAGTTGAACCAGACTCAAAGTATGTACAAGGCAAGTGTGTTTTATCTATAACTAAATAAGTGAGGGTGGGAGTTGACAGCCAAGAGACCCACTTCCCATTAGAAGCAGAACTTATTTGAACACAGAAAGATAATGATGGATTCCAGGAGACATTGGTGATCTGGTGATCAAAGCATCAAATCATAGCCTTTCTTTTTTTTTTTTTATACCTTTATTTATTTATTTTTATGTGGTGCTGAGGATCAAATGCAGGACCTCACATATGCTAGGCAAGCACTCTACCACTGAGCCACAACCCCAACCCAAGTCATATCCTTTCTTAATCATATTATGCCCCTATATTGGCCACTTGGGCTGGCAGTAATGACATCAAAGGAAAAGGAGAGCTAGGCAACCCATAGTTCCTTTTGTTTTCAGTCCTTCCTTATTTAGCAAGAAGTTGAAGGTAGAAAAATGTTAATTTTCAAAATTTACACATCAAATAGGCAAAGAAAAAACACCATGATAAGTCACTGTGGAAGAAAGAAAAATATTTTGCCTTGGTTCTTCTAACAGTACTGGGACTTTCTTCCCGCTTTTTAAGCATAGGGCTTCATATTTTCTTTTCCTTTCTTTCTTTTTCTTTTTTTTTTTTTTTAATTCACCAGTACAAAAACCCAGGGGTGCTTACACCACATTCACATACCCTGAGACCCCAGTCCTATTGCTAGGTCTGCTTAAGGTGTCTGCCTAAGTCACATCCCCAAATCCCCAACTCTCCCTGTTTTTTTGTGTGTATTTTTTTGTTTGTTTTGTTTTGTTTTGTTTTTGTTTTTGTTTTTTTAATGACAGGGTCTTTCTAAGTTGCTTAGGGTTTTGCTAAATTGCTAAGGCCGGCTTGGAACTTGCCATCCTACTGTCTCAGTTTCCTGAATCACTAGGATTACAGGTGTGTATCTCCATTCTTCCTGGCCACATTTTCATTTTGAACTGTGTTCTGCAAATTGTTCTTCAATTTATTCTGCAGCTGATTCTGGATTAATTTTCTCAAAATACAGTTTTAATTAGGCCACTCCTGATTCTTCAGTCTAACATGGAGGGTGCTCCACAATCTATACCCAGCTTGGGACCCTAACCTCCATTTTCACTCATCCCCAACTAGTCCTCTACTGGAGCTGAATTGGCCCCTCCCTGAACAGACTGTCTTACCCCCAACTTCACACCTTTATCCATTTATTTCCTCATCCTAGAAGACTGCCAGCCATTATGAGGCCACTCCCAGCCCCTGACCATTCATTCATTCTATGCATATCTAATGAGCATTTGCCTAGAGTCAACATTATTCTGGTCCCTGTGTTCCTGACAGCCCCTTCCTGTAAACAATAAAAGTAAGCAAACAAAACAATGTAAATATTATGCAACATAATAAAACATGGTGATAATAAAACAGGTATCAGATAAATAAAGCAGGAACCAGAGGGCTGGAGATATAACTCAGTGATAGAGTGCTTGCCTACCATGCATGAAGGCCTGGGTTCAATCCCCAATTCTGAAAAAAAAAAAAAAAAAAAAAAAAGGTACCAGAAGGCACCTGGTTGGTCAGATATATCCTTATGAGGATGTAACTTTTTTTTTTTTTTTTGGTACTTGGAATTGAACCCAGGGGTGCTTAACCACTGAGCAACATCCCCAGTCCTTTTTATTTATGTTTTTTGGGGGACAGGGGCTACTGGGTATTAAACTCAGGGACACTCAATCACTGAGCCATATCCTCAGCCCTATTTTGTAATTTACTTAGAAACAGGTTGGGGCTGGGGATGTGGCTCAAGGGGTAACGCACTTGTCTGGCATGTGCGGGGGCGCTGGGTTCGATCCTCAGCACCACATAAAATAAAATAAAGATGTTGTGTCCACCGAAAACTGAAAAATAAATATTTTTAAAAATTCTCTTTTAGAAACAGGTTCTCACTGAGTTGCTTAGTGCCTCTCTGTTGCTGGGGCTGGTTTTGAACCATGATCCTCCTGCCGTAGCCTCCTGAGCTGGGATTACAGGTGTGCACCACCAACCCAGATCCCCAGCCCTTTTTAATATTTTATTTTATTTTTAAAATTTTATTTATCTTAGTTGTTGATGGACCTTTGTGTTTTATTTATATGTGGTGCTGAGAATTGAACCCAGTGCCTCACACATTGGAGGCAAGAGCTCTACCACTGAGCCACAACCACAACCCCTTAACATCTTGAGACAGGTATTTGCTAAGTTGCTCAGGGCCTCACTAAGATGCTGCAGCTGGCTTTGAACTCAGGATCTTCCTGCCTCAGCCTTCTGAGCCACTGGAATTACAGGCATGCACCACCACACTGGCAAGGAGGCAACTTTTAATGTGAGTCCTAAATGACCTAAAGGTGCCGTGTGGAATAGGGTAACAAATTTCCAGAAAAAAAGAGGGAAGTCCAAGTGCAAAAGCTGGCTTTAATGAAGGAAGTCAAGATTGATGCAGCAAGAGGTAGGCAGGGGCCAAACTCTATGGGTTTTTGTAGGCCAAATGGGACAGTTTGGATTTTAATCAAAATATCATGGAAGTAGGGCTCAGGTTGTAGCTCAGTGGTACAGCACTTGCCTAGCATGTGGGAGGCCCTAGGTTCCATACCCTGTATCTCCAAAAGAAAAAAAAAAAAGTAAATTTATTTATTTATTTGGTACCAGGGATCGAACCCAGGTGTGCTTAACCACTGAACAACATACCCAGCTCAAAAAAGGTGAATTTAAAAGCCAGGTGCAGTGGCACTTGCCTGAAATCCCAGTGACTCAGGAAGCTGAGGCAGGAGGAACACAAATTCAAGGCCAGCCTGGGCAGTTTAATGAGACCAAAATAAAAAACTAAAAGGGATTGGGAATATAGCTCAGTTGGTAGAGTGCTTACCTCACAGCACAAGGCCCTGAGTTTAATCACCAGCACCACAAAGAAAAAAATAATAAAATAAAATATAAAAGGCTATGGGGATATAGCTCAGTGGCAAAGCACCCTTGGGTTCAATTACTGGTACCACAAACAAAACAAAACAAATATCATGGAAATAGTTCTAGGGTTTTAGGACTTTAAGCTGTGGAGTGACACAATTGAATTTAATGAAAGTTCTAAGCATGGTTATATGAGCCTCTAGTTCAGCTATTTGGGAAAATGAGACAGGAGGATTACTTGGGCCCAAGAGTTCAAAGGAAGCCTGGGTAACATAGCAAGATTCCATCTGGGGTGGGGGAGAAAGTGATCACCTTGGTGGCTGTCTTGTGGAGATTGGGTTGGGTCATGGGAAGCAAAGAGACCAGTTAGGAGGGCTTTTCAGTGAGCAGTCCAAGTGCAGTGTAGCTAGCTTAAAACAGAGTAGCAGGTTGGCAGATGGGTTTAGGATCTATTTTGGAAGTAGAGAGGAATGACCAATGACAATGGGAGAAAGATAGGTATCATCAGCTGCACACATCTGTAATACCAGTTACCCAGGAGACTAAGATAGGAGGATTGCAAGTTCGAGACTAGCCTGAGCAACTTTGCAAAATCCTGTCTGAAAATAAAAAAGACAAAAAGGACTGGGGATATAGCTGAGTGGAAATGTGTCCCTATATTCAATTTCCTGTACTAAAAAAAAAAAAAAAAAAAAAAATCAGGGGAGGAATCTAGGAATGTTCAGTAGTACAGTACTTGCCTAGTATACCTAAGACCATGGGTTCC